GAAGATCTATGCTGTTACAGCGATGTGCTCCTAGTCGTGTTCCAGACTGAATTTATTACGGAATAGTGTAGCAGTTCATTTTTATCACACCGCTCCCTACCCAGTGATTTAATTTCAAAATATATGACTATCCTTTTGAAGGGTATAGCGATTGTGGTGCGATTTGTTTTTCCTTCAATTTCCATCTTCATTTTCTTATGTATTTACTTATTTATGAATCTTTATTTGATATTCTATGACATGTTTTTCTACTTTATTTTATATCTATTTCCATTACATAATTTCTTATTTCTGTTATTTTATCTTATTTTATTTTCTTTCATTATAGCAGTTAATTCGTTACCGATTATTATATTTATATAGTTCTCCACTGAACATCATACAAAAAATAAAACACATCAATGATTTTCTTAAATAACCATCCCCTTTAATGGTAGTTCCAATTATTCCCGATACAGTTTATTTTAAGAAATGTTCTTCGAATTAGGCAAACGTTGATGTTAAGGTCTATATACATGGCAGTTTTAAATTTTGCGTTTGTGGAATGTATATATTATACGTAATTATTTTATACATACCGTATAAAGTAGGCCACAAATTTAGTAAGAGGTTTTTTAAACTGTAGCGTTGCAAAGATGATATTGTTTTCATTATTAAATTACTAAGGATGTTGACAAGAGTTTTATCGACGGTTTTTTGCTCGTTTTAGGATATTTCGAATCACTATTTACATCACTATGTGACGGTTAACTTTTTCGCTAATTTTTTTCATATGTTTTCACACATCTTCTAAAACTTGATTCTTTTGCCACCTCCAGCGGTTTTTATTTATAATTACACATCTTAAAATAAAATAGATCAAGAAGGAAAGAAGATAGGTGTTTAAAATAAATAAATAAGAAATATATATATATATATAAATCTATAGTTCTTAAAATAGAATACATTTCAAAAATTTGAAGGTTTGCTCTTGCGGATTGCTACCTTGCGTTTATTTGACTACGTTAATTGGTCGTTGATAGAAACGCAATGTGTACAGGCCTTTAGATCTAAGTTAGTTCATTTTTGTTTTGGTTTTGCGGTCACGTATGTGCATTAGCCATTTTGTTCAGGAAATCGGCAGCCGTATAAATCAATAAGGATATTACACACACATACATAATATGTTTTGAGTTTGTATTATTTATATCATTTGATTAGGGATATTGTTTATTTCTGGTGAGGTGAAATGTATTCGGAACGGAAGCTTACATTTTAGATTCCAATCTGTAGTACTATTGTGTAATAAAAACCGCCTCAAATTCGTCGTCGAACCATGTTTGATTGTAATTCACTGAAGCTTTATGACGTGACAGTGATGCGTTCGACCAGGAGTTGAGACTGTTTGACAGAATAGCTGATTCTTTAATAAGTGAATCCATGCTTTCAAAGTTTAAAACATATTTAGATATATAGAAATATCCAATGAAAGTCTCGCTACATACAATAACAAATGCTTATTGTGTAGACAGTGCTTCTTGACCTATTTCGTTTTAGGATGATCTAAAAACAGTTGTGATAATTCAATCAGAGATTCTTCGAATACATTGGCTTCTTTTTATTACTTCATAAATTATATTGGTCTTGTTAATGTATAAGCTATAGTATTTAGGATGCTTATAGCCAAAGTTATTACTCTGAAAAACCACTGTGGAGTGAAATAGAGTCACCAGTTCCTCAGGTTACATCATGGTTATACATACCTATGTATCTGTCAAATTTCCTAATTTGACTTCAAACCTTAATTTTTTGACGGTAGAGTTAAACATCAACTGAAGAAATTTGTAGTACAGTCATGTGTTCATTTGATATTAGGATTTTATATTATTACAAGTTCATGTTATGAAAGGTAATTAAATGTTACATACCATAAACTGCCCAAGGCCAGATTGGTGAGTGTACATAAGTTTTACGTTGACGCTTTTATTATTAAGAGAGTTAAGAATTTGTATAGGGATTTGGAGTTCTGATAGTTACCGCTAGAGGCGATATGCGGTTTCCATACTAAAGTTGCTCATGAACGTAAAAGTAAAAAAAAATCGCCATTCATAGAGGCTTGTTTTTGTTTTTGATAAATTAAAATCATTTGTTATTATATACGTTACGCATATGAATTGTGATGAGATTGAATACATAACTATATATGTCATTTACGTAACGCTCTAATGAGTTTTATTTCATTTTTGTAAGAAATATTTCGGTTTAAAATATTTTCATCCTTCAGTAAAATAAAATTATAAGATAAAATTTTCTAGTATTTATCGTTTCTGAGCGATGAAAGCTATCAAAATTGTATTTTAGAGTGAACAAGAGCTCCCAATTTGGCTAATTGTGTTTAATACCATTTAAAGCTTTACGCTTTAGAAGATTGACTTATAATCAGCGTAGGCTTAATGAAACTTGGCGCCCTAGGCAAAAACCTAGAATGACATCTATGAAAAAAACGTCAACAGTATTAAAGACTCATGTATATATTTGCACCGACAAGAAACTTTTCAGGTACTAATAATCTGAGAATTTTATACTTTTGAACATCGACTCATGTCAAAAAAAAAAATCTCATTTTAAGGGCTGCATAAAAAAAGATTATGCTGTGACGCTCGCAAATATGAGTGCCCTAGGCCTAGTTGCCTAGTTGCCCGACTACGCGACGCAAAGTAGGGTAATGTGTTTATCAGTTTATGTATGTATGTATGTTTGTTTCTATGTGGCGTTCTAGAGACCAAATGCGTAGGCCGATTTTGATGATTCTTAAGTCAATCGATTCGTCTTAAGCTTGCGAGTGTCACTAAAGACATGACAATATCAAAATTCACCACAGCGACAACCACACGCTATATTGTCTAAATGAAAAAAAAAAAATCGACGAACTATGTCAAGTGGGGTGTCGTTGAATTGGTATTTTAAAAACATCTTTAGGTTCCTTTTATCATTTTTCATTTTAAATAATAGTTTAGGATATATAATGATTTAAAGTTTTTATTTAAAGTATAAACGATATACAAACAATAAAAAAAGTGAAAAAGCATGAGGAACAAATATTTTTGGTAAATCACCAAGTCACCGAGTAAAAAGAAAGTTTACTACCAAGCTCGATAGATAACCAAAAAGTATAAAATAATAATAAATAATTAAAAGAAAATCAAAAAACCCCATTCAAATTTTACCAATCAAATCTTCCCAATGGGCCCCGACTATGAGTCGTTCTGTTCGGCATTAGAATTTATGATTCGTTTTATGTGCGTATCGATTATATAACTATTTCAATTGTGTAGTTATTTAGAATTACTTGACAGAATTCTAAACTACTGGGCTTGTTTCTTTCTTTTTAGTTTTTATTTAAGTGAATTTTTTTCATGTGTTTTTTAAAATTCGTTTTTATGCAGTCGGGTTTTTTGTTTTTTACCTATAAGTTCGGACCGGCCTTGCTTATATTCATTTATGAATCAATTGGTTAAAAGGTGACTTATATTTTTAAGATGCCATTATGATACAAAAATGAAATGGTGAATCTGTAATACAGTGAGGCTGTAAAAATGCTAATATATTCCAATTTCTCGCTAGCAACGCTGGAGCTGGAACAGCTGGAAAGAAATGTTTATTTTATAAAACTCGATTTTACTCTCTTTCTTGTTACTGAATATCATATTATATTCTTACACTTTACGGTCTTTGATATTTATGTGTAATAAAATATATTTCGATCATTAATTGGGAACATCCTTGAAATGAATAACTCTATTTATATTTGCGACATTACAAGCTGTTCAGAAATACATTAAATATAAAAGAATATATTGAATAGAATTATTTCGTTCTTTTTATTGTTAATGCGTATTTTACTTTGAAGGTATCAATTCTGTAAATTACAGCATTTAAATTTACTTCTGCTATTTATTTTTTTTACTGAATTTATTATGGAGTTTCACAAGATTAAAACTATATTTATACTATATGTGCAACAGAATTGCTTCCAATGTATAATACTTTTTTGTTTCAATCAAGTACAAAATATATTTTTGCTTAAAAGAAAATTTGGCATAGAACACAATGCGTTCTTTTAGGAAATGACTCGGCAACGTACGAAACGCTATCTCATTGGGACATTGTGAGTGAAAATTTCGCAATATTGTCAATCCCATTGATGGCGCTTTTGAGCGCGCCGTTAATAAATTTTTGGAATAATCCCATTCAAAATATAAATCAGCTGACACCTTATATTGTAAACAAGGTGGTTAATGACTATAGTCACCGATACCTTTATAATACTGTTTAATAGTAACTACCTACGCATTTTTAATCTTGTTGGAAAAAAATATAATCGATTGATTTGTAACCTGTAGTAACGATTAAGAGTATTATTTTGGAATTGATTTTATTGTATTTCTATGCGCCTTTTGCCTATATAATTTCCTGTTAAGCATAACACATTCTGAATAACTAAATATTTTTAGTGTGATTTGAAATAGCGTGCTAAAAAGTGCAAAGGGGGTATGTGTAAATCCGGCTTTTTCAGACATGACTTTGAATTAAATTTTATTATGTAGTGATTAACAATAAATTACACTGTAAAATATCTGTGAAAGTGTAAAAGCGAAATAAACAAAGGCGAACTTTGCTGACTTTAAACGCGCCTTAAAAGTATTTAGCACTTACAATGCTATCATAATGTTAAAATTAGACTAAGTTCCTGCAATCTAAAGTTCACTAGTTCGATACCAGCCTAGTAACTTGGGCAGTTTCTTTTATATTCCCAAAGTTCTTGTTCAGACAAAAACTTAGAAAATTATATTTTATAGGTACCGTGTAAATATACATAAGCATTAAGTAAAAAGAGGTTAATTTAATGTTACAAACAGACACTCCAATTTTATTTATTTGTATAAATGAGACTGGAATAAACTGACACACCCTATCCTATTTGCTTCTTAAGAAACTTTAAAGATTTTCATTTGTTTCAGAAGATGATTGGCCCCCAGATGGATCGAGAATTGATGGTGAGTTCTATCACAGATATTATACAGGATTTTGTATATATACACATTTTTTTCTTATGGTTCAGTATAATTTATACTTGAATATACACTTTTATATTAAAATTAATAAATTCATTTTATTTAATATCAATTAACATGTTTTTATATTTTAATAAATGGTCGTCGACCTCCAGATATATCATAAGTATCAACATGTTAAAGTATAAATCTTTTATTTAGTATCTTGATGTTAGCAAGTTAGAAAATGAAAAAGAAATGTGAATTTGAATGTGATTGCAATTTAGTGCATTGACAAAGATGTAAGATTATAGCGTCTACGCCTAAAAAATATGTGTATTTCTTCGTTTCCGATTTCATTAGCGCTACTATTAGCCTTTCAAGTCAATAACCGTTAGAGAAAATTTTCATTATAAGTTAACAATATTGTTTTGAACTTATCTTGCATAAAAATAATATTTGCGTTTTAGTGCACACAAAAAAAATGATTCTTTTTTAATTTTGACTTATTCTAATTATTTCTATTAAAATTAAATTAAATATTGCGTATATAAAGGTGCTTTTCCAGATATTTTTTATATGTTGTTGTTCTCATAAAGACGGATTTAAAGAGCCCAAACATGATTCAGTTGCATTATTTTCTTCTCTTCTTCTTTATCTTCCAACTTCATCATCATACCATTCAAAATGTCGGACATTGGGAAGTGGATCAAATTTGAGAAATTTGAGTTCCATGATTTGGGCATTAACTAACTAACATTACTTTCATCTTAATCGAAAGTTTAAAATATCTATAAAATATTTCTTTCATCTGTTCATTTGGATTGCTTGAATATTGATGAAAATACAGTCACATGTGAATAATTTTTCAGTCTTGTTAGGTCCTTGGTAGCTCAGTGGTTAGAGTAGTCGCCCGGATTGGCAAAGGTTGTGAGTTCGAGATGGCTCATAGTGCCTGGGGTTGGTGGAATATTTTAAAGTTTTTTTCATTAATAGGGCAAGTTAAATAAAAGCTTGTAAACCAACGTATTGATATCACTACTATTGGGGTTCAGGTGAATAGAATTGAATCGAATAGACCACCATTTGGTTCCAGTGCGTATAGAAGGCACGTTAGGGACCAACAGCCTAACGTGCCTTCTAAAGCACGGTGGAGTTCAAGATAATAAATTTTTGGTCACCCATCCTATGGCCGGTTATTGCGAAAGTAGCTGAACAACTGTATCGTAAACCGACCGCGCTAGCCACTGCGCCATTGAGCTCCTCATACTTAATTTGAAATTGTTTTATTATGATTCTATATTCATGCTATTTATTCCTTGGGGTTCGTAGAGAAACAAAGGTGAGGTAAGATGGGACACATGAATATCTTGAATACTAGGATCATTGCCTGAATATAAACGCCACTGTCATTGTGACATCTTTACGACACCACATTAGGTATTGGTTAAGCTTATGATATTGTTGGAACACAATAGTGACAAGCCGTCATCCACTCAAACATCGCCACAACAGTTTCCTAAGATACCCTGTTGATGGGCTTTTATTATCGGCGCGGGAAAGTTAGCAGATGGCGCATTATATGTTTCTCTTTCACTCCCAGTCCGGCACGAGAAATAAAGAGTATTTATTTACCATCTGATTGCGAACGAAGAGAAGTTCAATTCTTTTGTTTACACGAGGAAAGAAATAAAAACACCCATTTTTGTTAGGTGTCTTGCAGAACACTACATGAAACTGTTTAGTATTGTATTAAGTAGAAAAATTATGAAAATCAGTGAAAATAATTGTTAAGTTATAAAAGTTTATAATCATTGAAGTTTTTATATAAACTTAGCAAGTTTAATTCTTATTTATTAAAAAGTATTTTCGTCAATATCGGCGACTATTAGACATTTTAATTTATTCAGAACTTATAAATAATAGTATTGGTCGACCTTAAGAGTTGGGGCGATACGTTAATTTAAAGCAATTTTACTTGATAAACACTTTATTCCACTGACTCACCATTCATTAGTGTTATATTTCTACCATCTTTTATTCTATTGCCAACAATAAAAACAATACTGCCATACTTTTTCGCTAGATATCCTTTTCAACACAATCAATGTTCTAATTATTGGATTTCTTACATTTAAGTTTGTAAATTATTATATTAAGTTTGTTTAATTATAATTACCTTTTAGGAATACACAAAACTATAGTTGAACGACATTAAAAATTACTATTTAAAATTAGTACCCTTTAGTGTCATTGCATACTTAAATAGATATCATACTTTTTAAAAAGCAGTCATTAACATTAATCTTTTATTTGTAAAAATATTAATAAAATACAATAAGCAATAATAATCTGTACCGTTTACGAATAAAAATACATGAGGATGAACGGTCATGGAAATTGCGTGATTTAAATAGTAACATTTCGTACAATTACATTCTCAAGTCAATACTACACTTATTAATTACAGTCAACGTCATTTTACAAGTATTTCTTTATTTATCAAAGTAATAAGTATAACTATAATAATGATAGGCTTACAATACTTACAAGAAGAGTTAGGCATTGATTACTTATCAAGTGTACACGTGAGACCCTATATAAAACGGGGGATTCAAACTATATATAACACTTTATACTACATTTACGGGGAAATACAGAGTATTTCTTGCAACTCGCAATGGAAACAGTCTTTAGTAGTCATAGGCTGACTGCCCTAACCATCCTAACGAAAATATTAAAAAAACTCTATTAGAAAACTTTACAAAAGAGTAATCTTCAATAAAGGGTTTTAATTTAAAATTAGGTTAGTAATTATGTTTTTTCAGAATGAGTCTAGTATAAAATAATTCTTTATCTGAACATCTTTGCGTACACATCATAATGATCATAATTATAATCAGCGTAATAATGTCCTCACTACTGAGGCACACGTTGTCCCTATGGATCGAATAGTGTAGGGGGTCACCCATCCTATGACCGGACAACACACCAACCTTCGCTATCGAGCTCCTTATATCATTTTTTAATAGAATATAAACATAACTTATGAATTCTCTCAAGTATAAATTTCGTTATGTTGCTGAATGGGTCTCATGCAGTTTATAAAAGCTCTTGGGCAACAACTTGGAAGGATCAGGCCCCTTATTGTCTAATTTTAAAAATTTACCGCAACTATTTTTAATTTAATATTAAAAAAATTAACACTACAATTTTTATGTGCGATAGCAACTGCGATCGCGACTTTTTTAAAGATTTCGTATGAAATAGATTTGAGTAATCGAATAACTTAAAATCCATATTGATAGAATGTCATATTTAAGTCACAACAAGCGCGCCAAAAATAAGAATTAATAATTTATTTAAATTACCATTTATTCATCATTTATTTTGTTACAAAATTTTCGATTTTCGGTGGCAGGTATTTTTAGGTTGCCGTACCCAAAAACAGAACAGACAGACAAACTGTCTACCTGTCTGTCTGTTTTCACAGATGATATATTTATGTTGCCACTTCAACAACAAGTACTAAACACCAGAATAAAATAAATATTTAATACAAAAACGTGATTTTTGCTCGTTTCCGATACGGACCTCTACGTGTGCGAGTCCGAATCACAGCACTTGGCCGGTTTTTTTACAGTTATTTATCGATATAAATAATCTTATAATTTTTTTAAATGTACATTTTTATATAATCGATATACCTTTAAAATAAGAAAATAAGCCCATAGAATGGGTAATCAAACGGTTTCTTAGCAGCAACTACTAAAAGTAGATAATTTATATAAGCCAACTCAAACATCACATCACATTTTAATTCATAACATTCTGTACTCTACTGACCCCATTTATACGTCGAATGCGTGTCACTTATATAGTTTCAAAGAAATTCAATTTCTTCCCAACGATTTCACATACTATTTCGATGTTTAATACACGATATATTTATGTTGATTTTAATGCATTTATTACTTGCACTTATGGGAATCTAAACGTAAATGTGTTATCTCACTCTGACTAGTATTAGAAAATTAAAATAGAGTAGGACAGTAACGTAGTTCTAAAATTATGGTGCCCCTTGTTTTATTTCGAGAATGCATATAATGTAAGAACGCGCTTGCTGGCTTGCCGCTTACGTTTTTGATAGTCGGCATTCTGTACGAATACAAGGCGGACCACGTATTTTGTTAATCGCCGTGTGTACGCGACTTTTAACGTAATTCATCATAATTTTTATTTTGCTCTATTTGCTGTTGTTAATTTTAAAATTTCGGGTTATGACGTAAAATGAATTCTTTAAATTAGTGATTTTCATCGAGTTAAGATTTTGTAATGCGTGTTAAAATTGATGTTTTGATCTTGTGTGTTTTGAAGTTGTGCAATTTTCATTACGTGTCTGTTTTACGAGAATTCGTTTTCTGTACTTTGTTATGAAGTTGTGTATTCTTGTTTTTATTTAATATACACAAACATTTTGCCACATTACCTGAGTTACCTCCAACGGCATTATTATAACATTATGAAAATCGTACATGTTTAACTGTACAAGATTTGCAGATGTTTAGTAATTGTGAAAACTGATGTGAGTATAAATAAACGTTAGTTGCAACATTGTTTTCCTTCAAAGTAATATTAGGAAAAATCTTGGTGTTTAATTGATTCATTTATTATGATTCAAATTCTTATCTTCTACATTATGTTTCTTCAGGTTTTACACACAAAGGTACCATTATAATAATAAGATAAGATTTACGAGTATATTTTTATTTGTAATAAATAAATTATCAATAAAATGCTTGCTTGCTCGAATATAATTTTTTCTAAATTTATTTTTACTGTTTATTATTATTATTATTAGAACATATTCACCAAGATGTTTTAATTATGTGATTTGAAATTTAAATGATAATGTTAACAATTTATTATTTATTGCAAATTTAATTTTATTTTTAACAGCCCATACCTATGTAATATAAAAAAATGGGTCCATAACTTCTGAGTAGGGTTATCACAAGTAGCAACGCTTTTATAGACATTTTTTTTCTTTTTTATCTCCAATGTAGGTGGGTTAAAAAAGGAAAGAAAATACAACTGAATATTATAAATACTTCAGCAATGATTATAATGTTCAAATTTGTTCACAAAATACTTTGTCCTGTATATGTAATTTTTTATATATTATGGAGCGACATTTGGTTTACTCAGTTATTTTGTTATAAAAACCACTTCAAATTCGTCGTTGAACTGTCAGTATAGTATTGTCACGTCATAGAGATGTAATTAAATATAATCGAATTATGTTAAAAGGTATTCATTGAAAAATCTGCGTGCGACGACGAATTCGAGGTTGTTTTTAACAGAGTAGCATTTGATGGCCCGAACATTTGATGAAAAAACCATAGACTTCTTATAGATGCTTTTACTGTAAACAATGTGCAATAATATGTATTGAGCCATTTTATGCATGTTTTATTTAAGGCATAGTACATAGAGTAAAAAATTATATGCTTTATAGTTTCGTATGTACGACAGGGAAAGAATGGTCAATCTTCGCATATTTTCTTTAATGATTTTAAAACTGAAAGATATAAAAAATACAATCTGCATGCATACTCCCGATTGCAATCGCGACCGATCGACATTGTAATTGTGCCGCATCCCAGTTTACTAGCGTACTCAGGGGCTAGTGTATCCAATCAAGAATACGAAATGGCACAGTAATAATGTCTATCGATCGCGATTGCGTACGACAGTAATGGGGCAGGTTTGATATTACTGATATGTATTAAACTATGTACCTATAGTTTTCGAAACTCGTGAGGAATCCTAAAAATTAAACAGTGACCTCTTTTATTCAGTGACCTTCGTTGTTCGCACAAATATTAAAATACTATTGTCATCGAAAAGTAAATTTACAAATAAATTATAGGGACTAAGTAAGTACCTACGTAATTAGTTCTCAATGGAGATTAAATGACTTCTGTTGAATGACTGTAGCTGTTTATGACTCGAGGAAATAAGTAATTGCTTATTTTTGCAAGAAGATAAGCTTAATGTGCAGCCGTTTCATAAACTCTGCTTACGTATGTTTGTTAAAGAGAAGCTTTGTAGAACTGTGTTAATAAAAAAGTAAGTCGTTTATATATATTTGTGATGTACAATCGGGATCACAATTGACAACAAATTATTTTTAATTGTAGCTCATTAATTATTCAGAATTCCTCTGTGATTTTACGTTAATGGTGCGTCAAATAAATTTATAATTGATTTTCCCTTTAACCCCTTTTAGAGCTTATTAACAGATCTATGACAAATGGTGAAAGAAGAGAAAACATTTTAATTAAAAGCTTTACCCCGGAACTCTGAGATAGGAATCAAAACTCATGACCAGGACTGACGAATCTTTCAAGCACTGGTTATTTTTTTCGCTACTTCAGAGCGTATTTTATAAATAGATAAATGGCGGATACATCTTCAAATAAATATATAGATATAGAAAAAGATGAACCAGTTCTAAAACGATAATAAATATGACGCAAGCGTCTGAGAGAGTCATACGCAGCGAAAACCTTCTTTCTGACTGCTCCTACTTGGGAGAGCTGATTATCAAACACAATTCCCAGGTTTTTGACAGTTTCAGTTGTTATGCAGATTCTGATAAAGAAAATAAACAATACACTTATTTATTTACATTCTTTGTTGGCATATAATTTATAATTAATAAAAGAAACGCTTTTCAATGATACTCTCAATTAATAATTACGTAGGTACTGGATATGTGCATGGCTCGAAAACTCTTTAAGAGTTTAATTATACCATAAAAAATGTATTACTTTGTGAGCGTATTTTCACCAATTTACTGACAATCCACCCAGAATAGCATTTAATAAGCAATTTTATTTTAAAAAATTTTTCAGTAGACTTGCTATAATCCTATATCAATAATATAGGATTTTCATTAAATTATATGTCAGTACTATGGAACTGATCATTATCTGTCTTATCACCTAGCATATAACTTTATGTCTGTTGGTATATTGTCATTTAGGTCTTCAAATACACTAATGTAAGTAATTATATTTTCCCTTATATCTTGAAAGTTGGCAAAATATATTATGATGTAAACATCATCACAGACAGATTTTATTGATGAAAAGTAATCGTAACAATTTTTATCAGATGATACACTTATAAGGTATATGTATACCACATATTTTAATTAATGAAATCTCACTAGCATGAGGTCGAACACGTTATAATCGTCGTACAACAATTGGGTCTAACGACTCTGCAAGTAATTAAGATAGCGCCTTTATAAGAGATGAAATTGCAAGTTCTGTCTAATAAGATAGTGAGAGACACGATAGGCTACAGTACTCAGTAAAGCCCCAAAATATTTTTTAATTATTGGCTTCTAATTTATTAATAAGGACGATGACTATTTTTTTGTCTGTCCGTCAGGTAGATTATTGAAGAATATTTTTATATATCCTTTGCACATTTTATACAAATTGTGAAGTAGCGAGCCCCCACTCCTCAACTTCGTTATTGTGTCAATTTTTTTGACAATGAAGTGTATCATACAATTATCATTTATAATTTACTGATTAAATATGTATTTATTTGTCAGTTTTTTATGACTTTTGTGTCATATTCGATATTTAAAGTATTCACTTCTTAAGTATTATATTTACCGTTTGATTTAGTTATGTAAAAATTACGTTATATAAAAGCAATACGTATAATAATGTTTTAACTTTATCATCGTTTTCAACGGAAATTTTGTTTTCCAGGTGGTTTGTCGGACGGCGAGGCCAACCGGGGCTCTACCAGAGGTAGGAGTTCGCGTCGTGACGACCCCAGAAGACACACGCTTGCTGGCAATCACCTGTTCATCCAGCAGGCACATCCTGGACATAACAGCACGCTTGATTTGGAAGTAAGTATTCTGATTAAATTATTGTCTTAGGGCCTGTGACGGGTTCGATGCTTGGGCGAATTAATTAATGAAAGGCTGGCTAAGGTTGAGAATTGATTTTATGGTAAATAAGTAAAGGTAAAGAAAAAACTGTAACCAACAAAAAATGAATATAATAACAGTTCGTAAGTAAGTTACCTAAATATAAAATTACAATTACCAAATAGAACATTTACATACCCCTTTTTTAGTTTGCCGTGATACGTAAACTTGGACGATATTTCAAGATATAATTTTATTTATAATAATATATAATTTCAATTTTAATGATCACAACTTCATTATTATAATATTTTATATTTAAATTTATACGATTTACAATAACATGTTCTAAATGAATTTTTACGAACTGACATTCATAAAGAGCATTTTGGATTAGTCAAAATTTCAAATTACGATTGCTGAATAATAAATGAAATGATGTTGAATATCAAAGTCAAAAAGTTTGCATGCTGAAAGCTAGGACGAAATAAACGGTACGGCACACCGTTTCAGGCCTACTGTCTAAAAAAATTTAGAATCGTTTTTGTTAAGAGTATCTTGTTTAAAACATATATACGAAGATTTATTATAGTGTCAAGTCCTACTTTCGCTGCATCATATGTTATTGAAAAATAGTAGTCATATAAGCATTTCGAATATAAACGAAATTTTGTTTTTGTAGGAACAGAATGAGGTCTCTGATTTCCAAGATTTTATTAGTTAAACATAATCTTTATAAGAAGCATAAGTCTAAACTCAATATGATTATTTCATATCGCAAAAATATAACTGCGATTGAACTTAAAAAAAGAAATTATGTATTAATATTATATTTGATGCGCACATATGAATTTTGCACTCACAATGCTATACTGAACAATATTATTAATGAAAAATGCTTAAAAAATCCACTTTGTCCCTTTGATTTGGATGCCTGGACATTTAAGAAAATACACTCTTTAGTAGCGTAATGAAAAGCAAAAATAATTACTAACATATAAAAGTGAAAAGAATTATTAACATAAAGTTTACTTACTTGAATGGTTACTACAAAAAGTATTTTTTTTCTAGTCATAATAATAATAAAGTTTGTATGATTCGAATAAATTGATTTTTAGTTGATTATGTAAGCGCACATATGCGCAAGTCAGTGACTGAACTTATGTCTTTATATTCACGCGTTTTATTTACTTCTCTATTCTAAATTTGCGCTCACGTTGCACCTATAATCGTTAAAGAAATTTACTGTAAGTATGTGGACAAATATATTTAAGTAGGTAAAACTACTAACGAGAGATGTGCAAGCTGCAACAATTCACAGTTAGAATGCTTCAATAATTCAGTTTGAATAGTCCAACATTTCACAGAATGAACCAACTTTTCACAGCTAAAATGGCCCAACATTTCACAGTTAGAATGTTTTAATAACAATTTAAAATTTGAATTTAGAATTGTCCAATAGTTAAAAGATAACTTTACAATAGGGATGACGAAGAATTTTTGTTTGTCCGTCAGATGTATTATTAAAGAATATTAAATACGTATTTTTTCATTACGGCGATACATTGAGTTGAGATGTCGCATGACGTCACGATTTTGTACATTTTCTACAAAACTATGACGTAGCGAGCCTCCACTCCTCGTATTTAATGCGCTTAGCCATTTCTTGTTTAAATTGAAGTAAAAAAATACGTTATTAATATTTTTCTATTATGTGACTGAGGGACTAAATTTAATTTCTTTTTTAACCCAGTCGTCATCCCTATTAAAGTAATCCTTGCATATTCTCATCATTATTCCCTATATTGCATGTGTACGAGATACAACTGATGCAACTCGATATAATTACCACCTGTGTTTAATTCATTGTCTTAACGTAAATATGTGAAAGACGAAGAAACTTGTTGCGATTTTCATTTGTTTTTTAAATACCAAGTTTCTGTTGTTTTTTTTAAGTACTGCTTACATACGATGGAATGGAATGTTGGTTTAAGGGTTCGCCTTTTTTAGAAGCGACCACAGTATCTGTAGGTTTCGTAAAACCAAATCTTCTGTGATGGTATTTTTTCATTGAGAAATGGGTAGGAAGCATAAGGTTGGTTAAGTAATTATTTACCTTCATGTGCAATAGTACGTCTTGTGGAGTAAGCTGGAGCGTTGCTGTCGTGGTGAAGGACAATCCTGTTTTTTGTGCACTGTTGTTAGCATTTTTTCCAAAAATCTGGTAAACAATAACTGATGTAGTAATTTGTAGTGATGTTGTTTCTTTTATGAAAATTCTTGCGAAATTACACGCAACGTTTTTTACCTAACTCCTCTCCTTTTTACTTTTATTAGTTACTCTTTGAATGGTTTGATCTGGTTTTTGTCTTCTTCGTTAACCTTTCTACCAACCGGTGACCAATCCATACGATGCGGTTTTTGATCTTCCTACAAACAATGAGGTTTCATCTAGTACGAAGCTTTATGACGTCTTAATATTCATGTATCACTTTTTGTATTTGACTCATATCGACGATTGAACTGGATAAGAATCTGTTGACATATTACTTTCCAAAAATCACGTTAAACCTCAATAGATAAACATTGTGGCACGGGAAAGTCAATTTTAAAATTGTTGCAAAGGCCAGTGACATCTTTTTTCTACTACTGAGTATCTACTTCATGTTTGCGTTTTATTATTTAAAGCTGTTGATGATTGTCAGTTATTAATTTCAAACCGTTTTGGAATAAAACAGCATAAGTTTAAATATATCGTAACAAACATTTCGACCAAAAAATTATTATCTGTGTATCGCGCTTCATAGATTAGGGCATCAATTCCACATTTTTTCACCTAACAATCGCATCTCAATAGAATATCAACTACTTGCGTTTTGCCATTAAACTAATTACCTGAATATTAGTAATGTATTAGTTTATATTACTAATATCTTCATCACAAATCAATGGTGACTTACTATTTTGTGTCGTAGTTGAAACGCTACTTTCTATAATTACGCTAACTATGAAATCCAATTGTAATAATAAAGTCATCTAAGTGCGTAAACAATAAAAGTAATCTCCATGTTATAAAAATAATTTGTGTCTGAATATATAATTATATATTTAACTACAACAAATTTTCATATAGGTTGTACCTATACAGAAATTTGTAATTTTAATTTTTGTATGTTATTTTTTAATATTTTTGTTTCTTTAATTATTATTTATTTTATTTTAGCATAGCACACCCGCACAGAAAATAATGAATGTTCCCGAATATGCTATTGTGGCCAAGTATCGAGATCACAGGAGGAACAATTATGTAGATCCTCGCATGAGAAAGGTATAAAGTTTATTTTATTGTATTTTTTTTTATTCGACTAAAAAGATTTTTGTTATTATTTCTGTTATTTTTATTTAAATTTGAATTTATCACAATGAAATATAAAAAATAGGCGCACGAAGCAAGAAAATGTTAGTTAAAATAATTAGGAGTTAATTAAGGAAATGTTTATAAAATTATTAACATACGCGGCTTGCCTCGTCTCTCGTAGCCGTAGGGTAAAAATGCTTCGGCATGTCTGAACGTTCAAAATATTTTTCATAAGTATTTTACGTCAATGCAGCTACTGAATTTCTTAACATGCTCCTAATATATAATATTATAAGGGGTGTCTCAGTAAGAGTGCACTGTTTAAATTTAGTTTTTTTTTGCAAGTGGTAACCTAAAATTTTGAAACTTGTCACTTATGTTCAATTCGATTACTAAAAATGGATCGAAAAATGCGCCTTAAAAGAATAACGCGTTATAATTGTGAAGATTCATTACAAAATAGGAAAAGTTACGCTAAAACCGTTCGCAAACTTTCAGTTCTGATGTCGACCGGCCACCACGATCGTACGATTTAACGCCTTACCATTTTTATTCATTGGGGTTTATGAAATCTCGCGTTTATGCGAATAAACCAGAAACCATTCCTGAGCTCAAACCAGAGATGCAACATGTCATCGGTGAGATGCAGCCAGACCTCTGTGTAAAAGTCATGGAAAATTTATGAAAAGAGTATCAGAGCCCTGTCATCTGAGCAGTGGGATGTTATATGCTTGATCGGAATATGTCTCTACAATCCAATATTAATATCACAATTCAATCATAAAATATGTGTTTTTAATTCAAAATGAAAAAGTGTACTCTTACAGAGACATGCATTATATGCAGTTTGGGCAGCAATATGGTGCAATCGTTCTGCGATAGCGATGTTAGACAACTGTCTGTGATGAGTGGTCGAAATTGGGTGTGTTTTTGAGGTTAGTAGTTTGTTTGACAAACTATCTGAGCCGGCGAACTTCGTACTGTCATATTTTATATCCTCAGCCGCGACTGTGAAAATATAACCCACCTGTCGATTGTTTTGTCACAGTCTTCTGTCACATACCGTCAGTCACTTTTTGTATTAGATTGTAAAAATTTATTCTGTTAAAATCTATATATTATAATCCATTTTATATTTTTTTTTCAAATACAAACTTTGTCCTGTCAATCATCTATTCTAGTACAGCCGTTCGGAAATGTATGTATACGCATAATCGTAAACATACATTTCGGCGATTCATTTTTATATATACATATAGATTAAACAAATATATCTTACAAATATAACCACGCGGACGAAGTCGCGGGAAAAAGTTTATATATCAAATTAGGTCTAGCAAATTTTCATAAAATTTAGATTTTTTTTTTATCCTACAAGAGGGAGGTTTACAATTAATTACAATACTAATGAGGCAAAAAAGAAATTGTCTAGAACGTTCAGACTTTTGATAAATTTACTCGAATGGCTTCGATGAGCAGTGAATATCGTTTTGATAATAATTCATATTATATTACATACTTCTGTTATGCTTTGTCGAAGTTATTTCGAACATTATTTGTATGAAAACTTTTAACGATACGCAGAAAGTTTTAAGATTTAAAGATTTTAAGATCCGACTGAAAGTTAAGTCACACTTTGCTTCGACGTAAAACTCACATCGCGTGTTGATTGGATGTTCTTGGTGTGCTAGTTTAACTACACTACACAGACATTGCCATGCAAAGTACATCAGTGTTTAACACTTAACTTCATTGCACTACCGCGCTTTGCAGGTGCGTCGGTCGCCAGCTCATGACCCAGGGGAGCCATTTTAATATTGTGGTGGTGAAAATTATGAATTGTAGGCATAGGCAATATCTATAGCAATAAATTCACTAGGTATCACCTACTAATGCATGTGATGATTTTATATTGAAGTTTTAATACTCTGTAATCAATTCATGCCGAAGTGGCAGCAATCCGCAGTTTCATTCAAGCTTTTTCACTAAAGCTTTAATGGTATAAAGTAAACAGCGTTTCGGTAGGCGCTCAAATTCTTTTTCTGCGTTTGATTTCCTAATTCGGAATTCCCATGTGGTATGTTACGTTGGGTTTTTCTCTATTATTAGCTCGTGGAGGGAACATTTTGTGAAAACACGTACCAAAATCTATGTTCGGAATTTCTCTATGCGATCGAATTAAAGGAAATGAGGAAATTAGTAGACAAACCAAGGTTACTCACATAGTCCGAAGAAACATATTACACCAATTCTTAGCAAGCACAATATAAAAATTATGTTAAACAAAATTAACCTCTAATTAATGTCATTTAAATCATAAATTGTACATCGCTCAATGAATGTCATTACATATTATTATTATTCCATATTTTCTCGTTAAAATTTAATAAAGAAATAGATAAATATATTATATAGTTTATTTCAGAATAATATAATGTAGGCAACATTTGTGTCAGTAAAACACCTAGTAGTAGTAGCTCTTAGAATATTCAGTCTACTGTAAGAGCAAAATATTTTAATAGAGCTAAGTAACATTCTGCTGCTATATTTTCAGATTTTTTGAAAATAAAGTGGATTACAACTTTCGTATGGTCTTGGGTATATGATTGTAAGCTAAAGATATCATTATATTACAATTATTGTGGCTTAACAATTCCAGTCAGGAATCAGAGTTTTAGTTGGTCTGCGTGTGCACTAGTTTGAACAAAATTGTACAAACTGTGCCCGACGGGGTTCATAATGATACTAGCATTTTTTAACATATTATTACATTGTGGAATGCAATAAAATATATATATATATATATATATATATATATATATATATATATATATATGTACGAGGATGTTTTTCTACGATACAACCTATTTATAAAATGTACAAATAGTGATATTTAATCAATTTTGCATTCATTTTCTATACTGGAAAATATTCTTAATATGGATATGTACAAATAGATTAATATCTATATAGGTGAGTGTATATGTATCGACAACTAGGTATGTATTAAGTTTAGAATCCCATATGCTTCGTAAGCATTTTCGTGCTACAAAACTTTATTTAATAGACAGCTCCTTCCTCTCAAAAGAAGATCATACCTTAAAATGGAAACGACACACCATAAGATCAGCGTCGGAATCAGCCAAGAATTTTAAAACAAAAATATTAATATACCTATCTATACGTACTTATAATATATACAAAAAAGTGGCAGTGGCAATGTGTAAGGGATATACTAGGCATCTTGGATAGTTGGCATTCTGGCTTTTGCGCGATATTGAAATGAAATTCTGTTCATGTGCAGCGAGCAGTAGTACAAAATAAACGCGAGCATTACATTCGGAATGACGTCATTCGGTTTTTCCGTTCGGAACAAAACTTACACAAACTAAGTTGTTTCTGAACTAAAACGATCGTGTCCGTATCGCTGTGCAATGATACCGAATTTGAATTCTTAAAAAATAAAAACACACGTGTGACCAAACTTAAATTATTGTGCGGTCGCCTAATTGGTTCGTAATAAATAGAAATAAGCTTTCTTTGTAAATAATAAGTTCTTCAATGGCACTTATATCATGTATCTGCCGGCCATTACGCTACCGAACACTGTCACTTCAGTTTAGAAGATTGACAAAGTAAACAACTATAACTGGAGCATGGTCATAGTTTAATTATGTCGTCCATCTAATTTAACACTATGCAAGATATGCCCGATGCGGGAATTAAGACGTCTGTCTAAACCATATGGCGTTTGATTGCGAATTATAGAGCGCTATACATAGCCGTAGCTCAATATTAGTATGCAGTGTGTACTAAAGTGGAAACTGACGAGCATGCCCTAAATGCATTTCGGTAACCTCCCCCCTTGGTCTGGTCGCCAATGGATTGATTCGTTTTATATTCATATTGTTTTATGCAGTTGAATGGAAGTCTTGAACGAGAGAACTAAGACAATGGAAACGATAGTGGCACGAAAACTAGTCGGTACAATTACAGTTCCGCGCCTTAAAATAAAAATCAAATCGCTTGCAGGATCACTCTGTTGTTTGTCTGTCACAGCTGATTTTCTTTGTAACTTCTGGACCGATTGAGGATTGAGGTGAAATTTGGAACACGTAATATATTCGTGAACCAAAAGTTTTCGTTCAAAAACAAATTGTAACTATGGAGGCTTATTATAGGGATATAAAATTTTAAATAACGTTTTTCAAGTATTAAAAAAGACCTATTATGAGGACCTTATATGTTTTTTTATTTTTGAAAGAATAATTTTTAAGTTATTCAAGAAAATAGACAAAATTTATGTTTACCTCCCTAATCCCATTTACCTATAGATTAATTTAATATCTGTGCGCGACTCTTGTTATGTTTTTTTTAGTGTTTGCTTACTTTTTTTGTGTATTCACTGAAGTTTTACTGGTTTATGTTTTAATGCTATTGCGTAGAATAAATAATGTAAAGTATAGAGGTTAGTGTCTATAATCTTAAAATTTTAAGTAATTATAGCTCTTATGTTATATGATGTTATCATTTACAATCATATCTCAAATTCAGGCATCGATTTTCACCTACAGGTAGCTACATCATACGCGGTTGACATAGACTATGATTTATGTATGCATAGTCATGGGAAAACAGCTTTATAAATTAAAATAAATACGCAGTATGACTTATGTTACAATGTCAAAAATAGGTAAGTTTACAAGAATTATGAATATGCATTGTAACATATCGTAATTCTTAAAAGAAAAATGGTTGATGATTTCATATTTTAAATTAATTTTGAATGTTGTGTTTGTTTACATATGAAAAATTACACGATACTACTTTAGTAACTACAAAATACTCAATTAAGCGTTGTTAATGTATAAATATACTATTTTCAAATTAGATATTTCTTATGATATCACCCGCGTAGGTAATCTATACGTCACCGGCGTAAGATGTAGTTTCCCACAGTGAAGAATCAATATTTTCGAAGATTATTTCCTATAAACAAACAACACATTACCGCTTTAATAAATTAGTATAGAATTAGCATTTCCCACCATGGATCGTTATTCCTATTATTTTCGATATCCTATATAGTCCTGATTGCTGAGACCTTGGAAAAACTCGAAAATCTCAAAGTCTCAAGATGAGCATGTCAAAGACAAAAATCATGTCAAATGCCCATGACACACCCACTCCAGTCAATTGGGAATACTTCACTCAAAGTTTTCAACGATTATGTATAATACTTTGGACAGATAAGTAAGTCCAGCTAAGTAAGTCCAAATTTGAGAAAGAGATCTCTCGTGAAATCCAGCTCGGATAGGCAACGTTTGGGAAGCTATGTAAAGTCTTCACATCCGATTTACTTCAGTCTCTCAAGACAAAAGTCTTCGACCAGTGTGTGCTGGCAGTGATGACTTAGGGAAGTAAAACGTGGTCGTTTACTATGGGTCTCATAAAAGTCTCAAGATCAACCAGTGGGTAATGGAGAGAGTAATGCTTGGTGTTTCCCTATGTGGTCGAATAACTGAAATAACGTAATCGACATTAATCGAAGGATTGTTCAGCTGAAGTGGCAGTGGGTGGGCCACATAGCGAGAAGAACTGATGACCGTTGGGCAGGAAAAGTTTTAGAATGGCGACAACGTACCGAACGATGCTCAGTAGGTAGGCCCCCAACCAGAAGAACCGACGATCTAATAAATGTCGCGGGAAGCTGCCGGATGCGGGCAGCTCAGGACCGATTGTCGTGGAGATCCATGGGGTACGTTCAACGGCTAATATGGTGATGATATTCAATCAAATCTATAGGAAACGCCAGTTTGAATAGCTTGATGATGATTAGCTCTATGTGCTCATCTTCCTCGACTTTCCAACTTTTATTATTATATTGATTATATAGAATTAAAACATATTTTTAATATTGGTAAACGAACGTCAAACAATATTTTAAAGAAACTAATCAAATATTTATTTCTAACCGAATATACAGAATATATAGAAAGATCCTGTGAAGCAATTTTAAATAAAAATAACAAATGTTTTCTTGTGTTTTTGAGGGTTGAGTTTTGTAGCAGGTTGCTGTCGATTCTTTGAACACTTATTTACATAATTGATTCCATTAGGTTTATGAAAGCGTATGTAATTTGTGGAGGTGTTTAAATACCTCTTATGTTATTTATATGTGACTGGTTTTCTTCGAAATTACCCACGCAATTTACTAAATTGATCCAGTGGAACGTACTCTACAAAACAGCTTTTATCACGACTTCTTTTCTATTTGACGATAGATTTACAGTCAGATCCTAAGTCGTAAAAAGATTGAATTTTATTATATGTATAATCTGTTAAGTAGTAAATAAACTAATTCTAATTTTAAAAATCTATTTGTATTTATAATTAGTTTTATATTGTGAAAATATCCATAACACAAAACTATATATAACGTATAGTTGCGTCATTATAAAAAGTCACATTGGACATCTATTAATCCAAACTTGAGGCTTCCTTCTTAATTTTTGAGTAATTTAACGAATGGTTTTCAAACAAATGGAAATCGAACGAAGTTATTGTGCAATAGTAATATCAATTTTATGATTATTATCAATATTTAATATAACTTCGTAAGATTGATTTATTAAATGATGTATAGAAGAACAGATAATAAATGAATGACGTACAAATTAGTTTTTTACTAAGCGTAAAATTTTAAAGAATGGAATTTATCCAAAACGCCTTTGTATCTCATTGCCCACGGCAAATAGATAGGGACAGAGGATGTCGAATTGGGCGTCAAAACTGTTTGATGAATTACTTGCAAAATAATATATTTGGTTGTATAGAGAAAATTTTATAAATTCATGTTTTGGATGTGACAGTTTTTTATAATTTTAATGGTACAAAACCAATTGAAAGTTCTAGGCCTTTGGTTGGTATAAAAAAACTATTACCAGTTAATATACAATTAACTTGGTAATAGTTTATTAAAGATATATAGTTTATTATCGAATCTAATATTGACAAATAAATAAATGCAACCGTATTCTCGTAGAATGAAATTGTTTATCATTAAAATATTACCTATTTAAACAATATTTTAGTGATTAGAATACCAATGAAGTTGGTGATGGTTCATCTTTTCATAAATAATTATCAAATCAACTACCGAGTAGAAGTCTACTATCTTTTCGATTTTTTGGATACTGTTTAAAACTGTAACGGGTCCACAGGCATAACATTGTAGTGGCGTTTAGTTTGTTTAGAACAAATATATTTTAGAAAATTATTGGTCCAAGTAAAACGTAAATTTGCTTAGTTTTATATTATGATTTTTGTATCGAGTACATTTTTGAAATTATTTTAATGATCCAATAAAGTATATTTATATAAGTATTATGAAAAATAATATGTTTTTTTTTTAATTATTATAACTTTATTTGTTTAAAGAAACTGTTAAAAAAATTGGTATGTGTGTGTGTGTTTTCAATAAACGATTTTTCTTCTTTCTCGTTTCTATTGGCTTGAAGTAAGATATGTTTATAGTATCTATCGCAGAAATGTTTGTTCAAAACTAACGCTATTGATTTGAAATAAATATGACAACCTTAAATTCAAACCACTTAACAACTTCATAATAACTATGAATGTGTGATATTTCCGATCATTCTTCTGTATTCTTCTCATTTATCAGTTTCTATTGTAGTCTCAATGCATTAACGATACTTCGATATTATTAGTAATTCTTTGATACTATGTATAATACAGAGAGAGACAGAGAGTTCGAAAAAAACAAATAATTTTACAACTGTTGGTTTGGATGCTTTAGAAAAAATCTTGTATGTTTCATAGTCCAAACAATTTCAACAGTATTGCTTTTACTATTTTAGAAACATTATTTAATAGTAGAACTTATCGAATAGTTATATTAAAAGACAACGAAAATTATGACTTTTTGTACAGAACTATTATTGTCACTCATTTAATTATTTTTATAACAATTGCTGGTTTCAAAACAAATATCTTCTGATGCAGCCTCCTCTGCCACGAAGTTACCCGCCTCCCAATGGGCTACTCTTCGACGATGATCCCGGCATCATGTCTGAAGTGGAGACAGCATCCACGGGCTTTAGGCGAGGTGGCAAGCAAAGGTCTTCGCTGCCCGTCGTCAGGACTCCTAGCAAGACATTGGAGCGACCATTGGGTGCGTATTATATAACATTAAATATTTGAAGATGTATCTTAAACAGGCCACATACCTAGTATTCATATTATAGAAACACGAGTATTCAAATTAAATATTAAAGAAGCCCTAGTAAAAGTCAAGATACTACAGCATTTTGTTCGTAAATCTAAGATATGAACTTGTACTACTATAAGCGGGAAAGAAACTAAGGGCTATGTCTTTATTAGACATTGACAACATAACCTCACACTGGTGTTTACGAAAGATGGAGGTTAACCTCCTCGAACCTAGACAGAAGACAATGACTGCTGTTTATACTGCGGATAAACTTAGCAAGTTTCTCCATGCACCAACATAATTTAACCTCGAAGTCATTTACATAATGTAATTAGACTTTATGTACGAGTATTTTATTACTATTATTTATTCATTCCATATTATTTAGTTTGGGAAAAGTATTGTGTTTGCGCATAATTTTGCATTTGTATTGCGAGGCTCTGCTATATTATATTAGGAGATTTGCAAATGATGGTGACTGAAAACAACAATTGGAAGCCAAAAGCAATCTTTGCAGAGTTTTATAAAGCTTGCCGGTTCTCTTCAGTATATGGTTTCCCGCAGTAGATTCACGAAGGGTGTTTGTAGGTTTTTGATTATGATAGATGTTTGCTACAGTGCAGACTAATGCAGAGTTATTAATGCCTGTATTTTGGTTACCAGAAGTTTTAATACATTTGAATTATGAAAAAAGCTTGTTATTATACATAATAATAAAATTATTTATTCATCAAGTAAAACGAATATATTGTTCTGTTGCAGGATTAGTGTTCCTACAATATAGAAATGAAACGAAAAGGGCTCTGCTACCGAATGAGATCACATCAATAGATACTGTCAAAGCCCTATTCGTAAGAAGTTTCCCGAAACAACTTACAATGCAGTATATGGACAGCCCAATGGTTAAGATATATATCCATGATTCATCAAAGGATATGTTTTATGAACTTGAGGATGACAGGTATGTAGAGCTAAGGATTTATTATTCCCTCTTGAATTATGTTTTTATCACACAAAAAATATTTTAGTATTATCAATAAGATCTCTATAAGCAACTTCGTAAGCATGCTCGTAAAAAAACCGTTTGATGGGATAAAAATATTATATATGTAGACCATCGGCTTTTTGCGTTCTAAAATTTGTCAATGTTTAGTGAAGCTCAGACAAAGATTTACATTACCGACTATTTATCATTAATATAATTTAGCATGTGGGTTTATACTAGTAGATTGATTTATACTAGTGATTAACCGGCAGCCATCAAACACTACTTGAGCTCTTGAACTTTTCTACTTACTCTACAGTAGAATTATTGGCAAAAGAGTAAAAAATATGATGATGGTGGCAAAATGTGGCGCCACTTGAGGACTACATTTATATTCGAATGGGATTTTATTTGTTTGAGTATTTTGCTGAATATTGTAGATTTATATTAACTAAAATGCATTATCAACAGGGCTCATCTTCGGGACATTAGGGATAGGAGTGTATTGCGATTATTCGAAGCAACGGACATCGGTGGCGGGGCTTTCCCCGGTACCGTTGGCGTTGGCACTCTGGCCATGCCAGCAGGTGCTGCCACCTGCTCTGGACCCTCCAGTTGGGATCAGGTATGATGCTGATGAAAAAACGAGATGTATACATGCACACATAATAAATTACTAACATGTCGATAATTTTTTAGAGTCCAAAAATCATAATATGATAAATTGAATAATTTTTATTACTTATAGGTTATTTTTTGAATTTTATTTTTTTTATACCCATACGACTGCGTTGTTTTGCTTTAACCGCTCGTAGAAGATTTAAACGTAAGGTTTAATAAATGATAAATATTTATGGCATACTTATGCTTTTGTAATATTTGGTAATGATATACCATTATCAACTAATATGATATCTTACAAATGCCAACTAAGAAATTTCAAATATAATACCGTTTAGAGGGCGGATACTACTATTGAAAATTACATTGAACATATGACACATTGATAAATGAACTATATTTTTAAATGATGATTATGATGTCATAAAATTCAACTTTATTTACAGGATCAGAGCTACTTCAGCGAGCCCGAGATAGACTCTGAGTACCATCACCAACACGTACACAAGTCTAAGGTAAGTCGACAGCTGTTGACATTCAACGAAAGGTAAGATTAGATTTTTATTTCTCGACAAATACTCTCGTAGTTTCAAATTTCGTTACTCTTTCCTCGAGATAGTTTTTTATTTACCCCGGGTGAGTTGAGTTGGATATATTAGAAAATAAAATTTGTATTTTTTTTTCAAATGACTGAATGATTGTCGGTATAAACAAAATAAATTTGAAGAAATGTACAAAAGTCACACAATGATATTGAGTAAAGAATATTTCTATTTTTTATAAGTCTATTTTATTAGTCAGATTTAATAGCAATATTTACTTAGAAAATAGAATTAAACACGTCAGTGTCATCATAAAATTTATTAAAAAAATATATAAAAAAATGGTAACAAATCAGTAAATTAAAACTAAACCTTATGACTATGAACAAACCAAGTATAAAACTTAGACTATAATAAATAATAACTCGCAATGACAAGTTCTCATGAAAAGATTTCGACTAAATTATCGTCAAAAATTTATTTATCTGGTAAAACTGTTGACATGCCCTTTACCACTTATTACTTTGATGTCTCAGATATAATTTAGAAATGAAAGATTATACTTCGAGTCTATTAGATGAGAGTGCTTATATACCTACCTTATTGTTTCAAGCATTTATATTCATATATGCAACGATTATGTCTATTTACAACGTCTGTAAAGCTTTATGGTATCCTTATTTTGATATTCTCAACTTCATTTGCCTAATTATGCACATTATAGTTAGATACTTCAATTTACTTTCACATTACTATCATTAATGCTAAAAAATAGCTGTATATAAAAAGTAAACAGCTATTTTTAGTTAAACAATATCAGCATCGATGCATTTTTTATTATGATATAATGTGAAAGGTATGAAATTTTATAAGCTGATTTTAACATCAATATAGAAATAATGTGCCTAAAAAGTCTTAAAGTAACTGGATACTATTCCGAATTTTGTGATTATTTAAATCACATTAATAACTAAAACGCTTTGCATATTGGCAGACCCTTATAATAATGTGCTCCGCTGAATAATTTCTTTGGTGTGGACCTCCAGGACAACACCAGAGCTTTTTTGAAAGGTTCTTGAGCACAACCACTGCAGACTTGCATAACAGCTTTCACTTCAGCTTCTGCTGGTTCTCTTTCATCCACCTGAAAACAAAAAATTTAGTAAAAACGGTTTTAATACATTGCGTCCATTTTTACTAGCTCGAGTTAACACAAGGTTTTAGTGCTGAATATGGCAAACATTTTTGGGCTTTTAGTTAGTGTGGTTTGATTTTAGGAATAAGTCTGTTTATATTTCAAAAATTGCCTTTTATGTCAACACTTACAGTCATTTTCTGCAAGTTTTGAATAGGAACGTTTCCGACCACTCCTGCTAATCCGTTTAATAGGGATTCTTCGAATAGTACATCGTCGTCCTTTTCGCCGACTAAGTCCGTGCTTAGCAAAGCTTCATCAACAATTGATCCGTCCGAAAGTGCCACAAGACCACGTTTGTCTTTCTTACCTAAAACAATAGTCATATACCGATGAGAAATTGTGTATAATATCAAAAACATCATGAAAACAACACTGTTTTCAATTCAGCATTTCCAAAGATAGTGGTAAAAGAAAATGGTTTAACTCACTGGTTTTAAGTTCTTTCTCTGGGTTGTCTCTCTTGTCCCTTTTATTTGAATCCCTCCTGAACACATTATGTGGTACAGTGTCATCGATGTATTGAACGTTGGCTGGGTTGAGCAACGATCCTGTAAGTACCACCGTAGTTCCCTTTGAAGGGCCAATGGGGCGAGTTTGATATGCCGGACCCTGGCGTATAGGGGAGGGCACTGACACCAATTGAGGAATTTGCAGTCGGTTAGGTGAAGGTTGCACACTGTTAACTAGTTGTTCTGATACAATTCTGTTTCCAAGTTGACCATTGATATATTCCTGTTGTATTTGCAGCCCGTTTGGTAACTGTATAGGTATCATTTGCTGAGCCGCAGCTAGATTTAAGTTCTGAGGTCTCTGGAGCTGACCACCGATAAGGAAGTTGCCATTACCAAGAGGTGTTGCTTCTGGTGGAGGTGGTTCGGTAATTGGCTCAGTAGAAGAGTCTACAGGGGTGCCGTCGTGTTTGAAATGATGTGCGTGGTGGTGCTTATGATCTTTGTGTGCTTTACCAGCGGTTAAGGCAACTTGATAAATTTGCAGCATAGTAATTTCCCCCACTAGTCCTGGTTGGGCTGCAACAAGGGAAATTAAATTAAAAACCTCTATATATCATAATGTATCGTCTGTTAGCATTGATTGGTTTACTTACGTTTCGTTTGATCCAAGTTGTCTTTGTTGTAAAGAAGTGATTGGTCTTGACCACTCAACGCGACTCCGCCACCTTTGATTATATGTCCAACGAGCTACAAAGGATGAAAGAAAATAATATTTCAAATAATTTCCTTATAATCTCTACAGCAATATTTACAAAATATCACGGTTATACATATCAAAATTACAATTACTATACTAGTTGTAATTTACATTATGTAAACTTTGTAACTTATCTTGTCACAAATAGAATTAAATCCCAAAACATAAATAATTAAATAGAGAAAAGTTAATAGTATTGAATTTTTCGTCATTTCAGTATTTATGTATGGTTATTAATTCACCCTTACAATTCTGTACCTACTCTTAAAATCAAAAGTGGATATATCGTGGACTTCTTCGCCCTCTGTCCTGTTCTAACTTACGTATTTCAAATAAAGTTGACGATTGCATTAGAAGTTAGTTTTCAGAGTATAAATATCAAAGACAAAGAGAAAGATTTCATTTGGGAACTAATTTAATTGTTAACAAAATTAAGTCGATTATACATACCCTGTTGTGGAAACCTCTGCCTACTCTCTCTGCGTTCACCCAGATTTGCCATTCGCCAGTTTTACCGTTCCACGATTGGCAGGAGTGATACCATCTGTGAATATTGAAGAATAACAATGTTTGTATTATCTTATCATATATTAACGGCATATGTTTTGCACGATAGTAAAATCAGTCTCAAACTCGACGTCGATAAAGATTTAATCAAATAAAACCTACTCCGGAAGGTAATAAAGATTTTATTTCATTAAATTTCTGTACTGCGACAGCGTTGTGCTTAACGTTAAATAGCCTCAAACTGGATTTTTTTTACAGAATAGCATAGCTCGTGTCGACGAGTTGGATCAAAAACTCGATAATGGTACTTATATGGTACTCTTCAGAAATATTTAAATAAAAACGTAGACGTCGGCAATGTTCATTACATATACAAATAATTAAGTTTAATAAATTATTAATTTTATTTGTGAAGACGAACATTTTTGACAATTATTACGATTTAAAACCAAGAGCAGAGTTTCCTACATAATTATTAACTACCTACATCTATATAGTTGGAATGATATATGAATATCTAAACAGGAAGTCACTCGAATAGTTCTCTGACTAAATGCAGTCTGCACAAGGAGCGTACGTTCTGATTCAATTATCTTAATTGAATTAGAACTGTAATTTTACAGTTGAAATACCGTTCGTATGTAGTTGTTGTTCTCTCAGTTGTATGGTTATTGTTGTTGCGAATTAATTTTCCTTTATTATGTGGTATGTACGTAGAATGAAAATTATTATTTCAACCTTTTATTGATGCTGAAAATTTGGTTTCCATTTAAAAGTAAATTTAATATTTTTATCAAATAGATGAAAAACATTAAACAAAAGACAGGTTTCTTAATTCACTTAAATTTATAAAAAAATAATAGTAGTAACAAAATATATAACTCGTAAATGCAAAAGATTTTTAAAATGAAATATTTAAGATTATAAACAATGTGGTGGGGTAGGAGCAATGACAGTTTCTGTTACATTTCACTAGAGTATGATGTCATTATTAGGCATATATCCGTTTCTAATTGTATATTTCTAGGTTAAATTACATAATAAGCGCAACCAGATGGTGCAGGTAAAAAAAATAAGCTATGTTAGCTACGATTATTATTAACACGATTAATTAACATCGGTCCAGGTATTCCGCATTAATTCTTAAAATTGATAGGAATAGCACTGATTTTATGTTTAAATATAAAGTTAAACTAAATAATCTATAGAAAACCCATAGCCGTATTATTTAACGAACAAAGGCGCAAGATTGACGAGTCAATTACAACAGAACATCCTATAGATGGATTTAGATATGTTAAGCCTTTTACTACTGTTGGCCATTTAATATATTATAATAATAATATAGTGCTTTATTTTAAAGCTAAATGCTCAAAAATCATTGGTCCCAGGAGTCCCATCATGGGTAACTAACTATGCACGTCTATGTTAAAAATGTAATTCCAGACAATTGATTATATATATTTTGGTATGCCTGTAAATTCTTTTAGTTCTCTGAAATGTATGCTGAAAATAATGTTCATGTCCTAAACGACTTAATCAGAAATCTAAAATATTCATTTCATAAAAGAATATCTTCCTCTAAAAATAATGTTGTAATGATTGTATAGCGGATAATTTATATATCGGTAGCGGTAAGTAAAATTTTATAATTATTATAGTATTACATATAATATAATGTAATTAGTGACTAATTAATTAATTAATATTAATTCATTGACATTATAATTGCATTAATTTTTAAATATAATGTAATGTTTTATATGGGATATCCTGAAATAAACTGTTATTATTATTATTATAATTGTAACTACAGCAGAATATCTAAATTAAAAAAAAAACATGATAGTATTGTGCTACTAGAGTTCAGTTTGGTTTTTAATTAATTTAATAATACCTACATAATTATCAAATTATGTCTGTTATATTTACCTTAATAAAAAAAAATCACATTCAAATAAAGTTCAGCCGTTTATAAATTGTTTGTTTACTTGACAAAATTATCCGTTACGGTAAAGCTACACATACGAAACAATTATAAAGTTGTAATCAGTTTATGATACAATTTTTATTACACTCAGCCACAGAAGGCATTGATTACTCAGAAAACAATTATATATCTAATTATAAAGTTAAATAGTTTGTAAAAGTTAAAATGGGTTTGTGTTACCGAGTTCTTTCTGCTTTTGTGTTTGTTGGTGTTTATAAAAGCTTTTAGCGGGATGAAAAGCCTACTTTGTTCATTTAATAAATTTTATTAATGTTAATGCAGATATATATGTGTGTTATTTATGAATTTATAATTGTGGGAAACAATTCGATTTCCTATGTCGCAGGTATTTACTTGTTGATTTTTAATTAAGGTTATTTTTTTTTTGTTTAAATTATAAATTAAATTGTATTGATTCGTTTTTAACCAACTTTGAAATAAAAAGGCGAAGGTTATATGTTCGACGGTGATGTATGTTCACCGATATTGTCTTTATTTGTTGACCGATTTTCAAAATTCTTTTTTATTCGACAGCTTGATGGATCGAGGTGGACCCAGTAATTTATTTTTGAAATCAAATAAGTTTAGTGTCTTTTATAATAAAACAAATTACGCTTTTCAACAAACATTACCTTAATATTAAGATGATATGGTATGACATGGCCCATTTTAGTTAAAAAACAAAAGATTGCGTATTTTGAATTAATTCAAAATCTGAAAGGAAGATTTTCTATGTTCAACGAGTATAATATATACTTTACTCTTTGATGTATATTTTTTGTGAAAGTTATAGATAGTAGATTATTAAAAAAATATGTAGAGCAAATAAATAAACTCTCCTAATCTTAAATTTTCACTATGTTAAATTTTTGAATGTACATAGATATTTAATATTTTTAATTTTACCTTATGTATGTGATGTTATCTTATACTTACTTATTACTTACCTACTCACGTATATAAAACTTTTTTTAAGAAGTAAAAGCTTTAAAAAGTGTTAAATAATTATTATCTCAAAAGCGACTTATTCAATAAAATAATACTGAAGTCGGGTACTTATGATATAATTAATAACCTGCAGAAAAACCTCTGCTCGACTTTAGATTTGGATAAGGTTTTATATCACGACACGGATATAATTACAATGACAGTTGAATAGTAAACAATGGCTACTATCGTCATCATCAGTCCTTTTACGTCCCCACTGCAGAGGCTCAGGCCTTCCTAATGGATAGTTAAGGAGGATGGGTCACGAGCTTCCACGCTGGCCCAATGTGGATTGGAGGGTATTAACGACTGCACATGCAGCCGGGACCAACGGCTTAACATGCTTCCGAAGCACGGAGTAGCTCGAGATAATAACTTTTTGGTCAACCATCCCATGACCTATGTTTGCGAAAGTTATTTAGCAACAACGATCGCGGGCCGCGGTGCTTATCCACAACGCCACCGAGCTAAAGGTTACTATAGAAAGGTTTTAATACCCTATACAAACTTCCACTTCCGTTTTCATCCTTTTAATAGCTGTTTTTTGGGATATGGCCTATGTTTACAGCATATGATGTAGCTACTCGTAGGTGAAAGAATTTTTGAAATCAGTCCATTAGTTTCGAAGCCTATGCGATGCAAACAAACAAACAATCTTTCCTCTTTATAGTAGAAGTATAGTAAAGATATTCAAACTGATTATGTGTAACGTAGAAATTAGTTACCAAATTAGTATTTCTAGTTTACTTACAAATCTAAGTCTAACAAGCTATAACGAATATCATTGTGATTGTTTGTGGACAATAGGGAATTTCTCAGGAGAAAATTTTGAACTAGAACTTAAGTAAAATTAAAAAAAAAAAAACAATATTGGCTCAATTATTATTTGAGATTATTTTCTTAGAGGAATTGTACAAATCATAAATATAGTTAAACATTAGCTTGCACAGAGAAACCAGTCTAGCGTTAGTATAGAAAGTGAGTTTCCTTTGCTAGTATGTGTTTAACATAAATAAAGTAAGGTAAAAGGTGCGATCCATGCCAGTCATTGTTTTGTTGCAATATTCAAGTCAACTGAGAAGTTTCCGATTTCACTATTGCATTAGTATACAATATAGAGCGCACACGCATGCATGTTACAACGCAACACTATTCGTAGATACTCATAATAATGACTGAATAGGATGCGTTCACAGAAAATCATTAAGGAAACTAAAAAACTTCAAGATAGGAAAACTAAATTATATACGTGAGAAATAGAAAATAAAAATAAATCACTTTGGCACCGAGGGCTTCACGGGGAACTTACAATAAAGGTGATATTCAAGTTTTTTTCAAATCTATCTTGTGTAGACATTTATGTCGAATCAAAATCATTGTGAATAAACGAGGCTAAACTCGAAGAAGCTTGGGGTTTCCAGAACTAACTAGCAATCTTTCGGCTCCATCATCGGATAAGCTCCATTCCATATAATATTGTCATCGAATTAAATGTAGATGCAAAATTTCGGTTCAAAGGAGACTTGGGAAATCAAATTGAGCTTGCAAGATTTAACTTTGAAGGAAAAACAATAGTTAGTTTGTACACGGCATTTTAACTAAAAATCGTAAAAATGGTTGGTGACGCACAGTAACTTTGAAGAGCGCGTTGAGTTCGTCTCGTTTTCTCTATTGTCTTACGCCAGTTATTTATTTGTTCAGGCTTATAAAAGATCAACAATAGCAAAAGTTAAAGAGGGCATAGTAGCATGTTCAGTTGCATACTATTTAATATCTATTATATGATACTCAAAGTTCCATTTTTTTATATTTTAGCATAGAAAAATCCGATTTTGTAAAACAAAATCGGATGCACAATATATTTGGGATAAAGAATATCGAATCTAATGTAAAATGCGAATATAAAAGGATATAAAATCCGAAGAGGTCACGATACACTTTTCGCTACAAATTCATCGCGTATGGGTCATGTCAGAAGCTATAAAAACCGACGAGCATGTATAAAAAAGTAATTAAATTTGCGAAGGCGAACGAAGAAGAAGAACTATTTGTCCTTGTCTTGCGAAATCTTTGGCTTATGGTGGTCGAACTTTTTTGCGTACCCTGCTAGGAATACGTCGTAAAAGTAAGAATCATCGGAAAAAAAATAGTAATAAACAACAACTTACTGACTTTTCTTTGTATTTCAATGTTTAAGATGAAATCATTTTCAATAGTGATGTCATTTAAAAATCTATTCACTATTAAAATGATCATGTTCTTGTTTTCACGAAAGACTCGATTATAGTTAATGTTTGATAAAAGTTGTACTCGAAATAGTTACTTCTGCACATATCTGATTGAGATATTATAGGTATGATTTAGAAAATTGTAGTTATTACGTTGTGTAGATAATTTTATTAATTAAGCAATTATGTTGCATGCAATGTCGAAGTGTTAGAAAGTAGGACGAATGTTAGTTTCTTCCTTATCAATATTGCTACTCGTTGCATCTGTTATTGAAAGACGTACAATGCTAGTTTTGTATTGCTAGCAATTGAGCAGTACTTAAGTGAACCTAAGAATTGCTGTTATTTATGGTGTGATATAAGTAAGATTGGTTTCAACATTATAAAACATACTTTTTTACTTTTTCCATTGATCTAGGTTTTTTGCTACTATACCTAGAAACTAGAAATTTGATGCAAGGGTTCTATTCATTATGTAAGTGAGCACTAAGAAAGGATTTTTAGAAATTTCATGCTCTTAGGGGTTGACTTACGGGTTAGAAGTATATATGGACGAAGCCGCTGGCGGAAAGCTAGTTTAAAATAAGACAAAATAAGGTGTTTTACTAATATTTTAATCAGTAATGTAGGCGGATCTTTCATTTCACTTCATTTGCTTCAATTTATTCCCTGTGAATGATTGTGAGACGTCATAATAATAGGCGGATTATACATGTTTGAATTTTGAAACAAAAAACATCAATACAACGTGACCAGAAAATTACTATACGTACTTACTGTACATAAAAATAATTCATAAAACGCCACTCTAGCAGCTTCATTAACCTTTAAAGTTTATTATTATGAATGATATAATAAAACACTAACATTAAAACATGGAATTAACTCCTTATAGCAGCGAATGTTCCAAAAAGCCTGTTATGCAATAATTAGATCTTCATCGACTAGATGAGCTTAACTGAAACAAATTAGGAAATGAGTAGACTCTTGGGAAATGTCGTCGACCAAATTGACTCGCTTAACTTACTTACTGGAGGTGTACATAAATGTTTTATTTTGGCTCACTTTAAGATCATAGCTACCATTTATTTTACTGTAAATATAGGGTTTGTTATTATGATTACTTAATAAAATTTTAATTTACTTTCCGTATGGAACGTGTAATATTTGCAGATGTCAATTTTATCTATATGTGAGTAAATCAATTAGAAATGTTAAGAAACTAAAATTTAAATGAAATCACAAGGAAACTCTAAAATAATAGGAATATATGAAAAAAAAAAACCCGAACAAGGTATTGAAAAAGAGTGAAGGTTCGTTAAATATTAACTATTGATTTGCTATTCAATCGTATTGACAAAATACAGGGATAAAAGGCACGTTATAAAAGAAAAAAGTCTTAACTGTGGAGCAAAATTGAACTTCGAGTGGGAGAACCTTTCACGACTTCGGTCGCAGAGAGCTACTTTCGTTAACATTTTATTGAACCTTTATATACATAATTCACCAAGCCCTCGTGTCCCATCCAATCTTTTCTCGAGTATAAGGTTGAAACTCCATTGAAGCGGAGTGGAGCGGTTTTTACATAATCAACTTCTGTTGAAGCGATGCGAAGCGAAATGGAATGAAGCAGCAGCTTGTATGGCACTGGATCGGCCGCACGACACGCAACGTATTGCACGGATTTGTGTATGTTATACGTCCACTGTTGTCGCATTTTCTTTGAAATAAGCGTCTGTCAATTTTGACGTTGCAGTTATGCAATGACGTCATAGGAATTTTTTTAAAGAATCCGTTGCGTATTGTGTGGTGAGAGTACGCGTGCTGATATGTATATTGACGTTCATTTGAAGTGGCCCACGGGCTCGCACTAACGTCACAAAAACTTACGGTTTTAATCTGTCTCTTTCAAATACAGTCAGATAAAAACTATGAATTATATGATCATCATAATTAAATATCTGTAGTACATAAAAACGTGGTAGAGTAGTTTTTAGTTAGCTTACGATGTGCAATTTTATTATATTCTGTGATTCACTATGCGGCTATGCTGTTCTGTTAAAACAGCCTTGAACTCGTCATCAAGCACATCGGTATAACAGTAAAGAGTTTCAAAGGACTAAAACCTTTATTACCTTTTGAAGTAGGTTTTATTTGACTTAACCTATATGGTGTAACAACGTTGCGCTTGATGTCGAGTTTGAAGCTGTTTTTTAACATAACAATGCAGAACTGTGCTTTATTAGGTCAATTTTATAATTATCGCATCTCAATAGACTTCTATCTTGCCATTGTACTATTTACCTGAAGTTCAATATCACCTATCATAGGTTATATCTATCACCAGTGATTTTTGAAGAAGACTTCAGGTAAATAGTACAATGGCATAATACGAGTAGTTGAGACGTTGAGTTTTTTTCTGATCTGTGACATAAACATTAATTGGTCTACTGATGTGCTCCTCTCGCCATTAAATATTGTTTTCTGACAAAATCACACCGTTTTATCTTCGAAATGTCCACAAGAGTGGGAAAGAGACGAGAAATTAAAGGACTCTATTATTTATTTAAACACTACTTTACTATGGGACTCCCTAAAGGCGCTTTCATAGCTATTTTCAGAACGACTAAACAGATATTTAATAGCGTTTTCTGTGTACATACCTGATAATGTTCTCTCGTATCGTATATGTACGCTATAATCAACAATATGTACGCTATGAGAGCATGGTATTCTAATATCTGCGGCTATGAGAATTTCGTGTTTCCGTTTACAATTTCAATTTGGATTTAAGCGCTTAGGTGGGCTACAATTCTATACAACTTTGCTTCAATAATTCTGTATAGAGTGGGCTCTAATGGAATCGTAAGTAAGCCACTCGAATGCACCAAAATGTGTGTGCCTGTTAGGTGCACGAAGTAAGATTACGCTGTTAAAGTATAAAGTAAAGTGAAATAATAATAATTGATAATGTACCGTCATATATATATATATTTTTTTCAATTATTAATAGATTATATTTTTGCAAAATAGCAATCTTGGAATGTCCGCTGAAAACCCATAAAGACATTCGTATGGCGTTCTGAATGTCACAAAAGTATCATGTTTAAGTTCTCTGTTGTGTCTGTGTTTAAGTTATTCATTATTTAAAAGCTAATCGGTTTTTGT